GATTTCAATTATGATATGTACACATGTTTGCGGGACCCAGGTGTTTACTGCTCATCCAATAGAACAACTCATAGTTGTTTATTTATTTGTTCACTTGATATCTTGTGGCCGCAGCTAATACCACATTGGTGTATCGTCTTCGTTCTCCCGCTTGTTGCTCTGACGGTCCTTACTTACACTATATGAAATCCTTCCCAGGGGTGCCCAGAAGGGGGTTTTATGACGCAAGTTGCACCATTAAAATTTATGGGGGAGGGCACTTTTTGACGTGGTTTTCAATTTTTGAGGTGGGCACATTTCGATGGGGTTATGAATTTTCAAAATGAAAAGTTTTAATTTAAAAGACAAGTGGTAGCATGGAACAGATCGTAGTAGATGTAATTGTATATAATCTACTAATATTTAAATCCTACTTTCGTTGGCGCCGTTTTTAAGAACAAGAGATGAATAAAATATGTTGGGAGGGGTGGGGGAAGGTTTATGCGCCATCGGCCCTGGGGAGGGGGGATGTGCACCCCTGGATCCTTCCTCTTTAGGAGAGAAAAACTTGACTTTGGTTGGTCATACACCGTATCCCCCGAGAGTTTCCGTATTTTCTACGAGACTTTAACTAATTTCTGTTGGAATTACAATGCTAAATTTTATGTTAGTAAAATAACTTTTATTAAGAGGGAATGACTTTTCCTGTTTAGAAATAACATATTAACTAGGGCATATTATTTTTTCTTTCACCTTCGTAGAGAAAAATTATAAAACATAATGGTACTAGCTCTGAATCGCTACTCCAAGATGGAGGCTGGTTTCAATATCACAATGTAAAAGGAATCTGGAAGAATACGAAAATAACTATAATAAACGTGTCCTGACGAGATATTTTTGCCTAAAATGCGCTGAAAGGTATTTTCAGGTATACACAGAGGAACTGGTATAAACTGGTATAAAAAAAAAAAAAAGACGAATGGTTTATATATTTACAATTATTATATTCATTATTAACTATACGATGTAAGATAAGAGAAAATTTTAATAACATTTATATTTGATTGTCGTAGTGCTTCAACGCCCTTAGTACAGGATATTGAAAATAGACATTGAAATTATATTTATTTCGGTAAATTGGTTCACGCTGTTATAAAATACAACGAAGTGAACGTGTTGAAGAATTGAATCTAAACTAACCTAACCTAACATTAACATCCGGCTAGGAAGGATTGGTGATCGCTCGTGTACGTCTAGTTTCGGGCATCATCGGGTTTTCTCGGGGTTCCATCTACAATGTGCTCAAAGTGATTTTGAAACAAGCCACCATTTTGGAGTAACGATTCGAAATTATTAGTAATATAATTTTTAGCTATATGTCATCAACGATTTTTCATAACTAAAATAACCTGTTGTGTTTTCAACAGTGAATTAAATAGCCTGGGGCGCACCCGCCCAAGGCCTATTGATAAGGAAGTTACCCTCACTCTTAGCTGTGCCGCAAGATTGAATACTTCCGCTTTCTTACGGAAGTTCGAAATTTCCGTACTTATGAAAAAATGTTGCGTATGTATTTGCAAGCTGAGTTGGATGAGCGTATCTCCTAAACTCATTTGGAGGGGGACAGGTGAGGGCCAATGCCCCCCCTAATACTTTCTAAAATGGCAGCAGCTAACAATTGAGCGGTTGTTTACCTCTACCTGGTGAAATTGTTCCATGGCCTAGTTAACGCTCAGCGCCTATCTGTGTGGAAATCTTGTTTTTATGGTTATTAGTTTTCTTAAAATCTCATATCATTCACTGATTAAGGTTATCCTGTATCTAATATTATCAGTTGAGTTTCACTGTTATAAATTATTTTGTGATTGTTATGTAATATCTACGAAAGCTAGACGAGTCACACCATTATCTTCAATTTACCTTAAACAAGGATCTTGGGAACTGAATCTGATTGTTTTCTGCAAGCAGCCCAGACCTTGAATACGATAAACGCTTTTAACTGCGTCATTTCAGCCTTTTGGTCAGTGGCCCAAGGACGGAAAATCGTTACTCATCCCATCAGCACTAGCGGATCCAGGATTTATTTTTGGGGGGGCTTCAGCCCGAAAGTTTTTTTTTTTCATAAAAATAACGATAATTACTTTGGGAAAAAAGAAAGAAACTAACTACCTGTATGAAATGGTGTTCAAGTGATTCCTAAAGCCCTTTTAAATGTAATTACACGAACAATAATACTTTAAGAGATACTTTTTAAATATTTTTTTCGATAAAACATGGTTATACTTTACCATTTTTTGGGGGGGGCTTCAGCCCGAAAGCTCCTCCCGTAAATCCGCCTGTTCCCATCAGTAATTGAATAGATGTTTCTAAATTTCAATAAATAAACAATTTTACCTTTATTTTCATAAAATTGTATGTTTTTTTAAAAATCATTACAAAAAAAAACGGGTATATACCTGAAAAATTCAGGAAACTATACAAGGTGCTAAAGCGAATTTACTATTATGATTCAGAAGCATTCATTATTAGTCTTAAAAAGTATACATAATGACATAAAAAATAGTATTTTGGCTTTGTTCAGGAAGTATAAAACTCACTAGTGTGTATATCATATATCAGTATTGTAACTATCTTCTATTTTATCTTTATTTTAATTCTTAAATTATTAAAAAAAATAGTCAAGAGTCTAACATTTATCTCAACTTCATGAAATAAGAGAACAAATTATATCATGTACCACTACAACAACAGGAAGTACCATTTCAAGGGATCAGGCTCAATCACCAGGTTTCCCTCCTTAATTAACTATTTTAATTAAGAGTACCCAGTTTATCTGGATGTGCCCCAGGAGGGTCTCCTGACCCCAGGTCAATCCACGACTGATGAAAAATTCATCAGCTGCATTCGAACCCTTGAGCTTTGAAAGTAAGTGCTAACCCACTGACATACCCCTCTTCCATACAATTAAATTATATCCACCGACGATACATTAGAAAGAAAAATGTATTTTTTTTTTTTACTATTCTGGGACAAAGTCCTCTTAAAATTACAATAATGAACAAATAAAAAATAAAAATACATTTCTGCCCAAAAACTAACTTAATAAAGATTCTAACAATATATACAGCAATTTAAATAATAGTATATAAACAACTAAAAAATAAAATAAAATATTTTCAAGAATACTTATAGTTCAAATGGAACATTAATATATAATGAGGACTGGATCCTTCGAAATTTTGTCAACAACCACAAAACTTGTGATAACTTCAGAACAGCTTCACCGATCCAAACGGAAATTGATAGGGGTTTAGGCCTCTGAGTGCTATACGAAATGATAGAAATTCAATTTTCATAAACAAATTAAAACTAAAGATATAAAATAGGCTAGAAATTTTTTCTTAATTTCTAACTTAAAAAAAAAATAAATTCTAAAGTCATTGGTGTTAGATGGAAGAGCGGTGATTCAGCTTTCCAACGGCTATATTAAAGTTGAAAAGTTGAATTTGATAAAAATCCTGAGGAGTTATGAATGCTTCAGTTGTCGGCCGGGAAAAAATCATCCAAGAAAATCAAGTACTTTATTTCCAGAAATGTTTTCTCAACTTGCAAAAATATTTCTCCTATCTTCTCCTTTAGTTGATTATCAAATTCGTTCATTGTTCATATATATCTACAGTCAACTTTTGATAATTCTTACTCTTCAGCTGTTAGCTTCAGTCAATCGAAAAAATGCTGTATTTGGTTAGCTCGATAACTTGAAATCCTTTTCATAACAAATTTTAACAATTCGGCATTCAAGCCCCTCAGTCAAAGTCAATGAGATTAATTACCTACATGATATTGAAGATAATTTAGTTTTACATCGACCTGACGATTTCTATCAAAACTGTTAGAGCCGTTTTAAAAATAAAAATTTAAAAATATGTTAGATGAATAGTATAAAGCACATTTTCGGTTAGTCTATTTTGACGAAAACGTTGATGTAACATCCACATCGTTTTTGAGCTAGGCTGTTCACACACATACATATATATCATTTTGGGATAATTGCATTATTTGGATACAGAAGCCCTTGAAACCAAAGGTGGATCTACGGGGAAGTGCTTTAAGCCTAAGCCTCATAAACTTCTTTATATTACTGTAGTTAAAATTTTATTTTAGTTTATTGTTGCATTTTTGTAAAAATACTGCTCGTCGGGAATTTTCTGAAAAAGGCTTGAAAAGATGATGAATTAGTTAAGGAATTTTATTTTCTAAAACTTGTAAATACAAAGGTAATACAAATTTTATTTTGGTTTATTATCGCATGTTTGGAAATTTTGTGAAAAAGTTTGGAATTGGTCCAGAATTTCAATTACCAAAATTAGTTGACAACATATATCAATATTAAAGGCATGCCTGGGGTGGTTAAAAAGGCTAAAGGCTTACAAAAGATAATCCAATTTGAGCAACGTCGATCATGCTAAGTATTTAGTTGAGTGATTATCCAACGGTAGAAAAAAAGAGTTACTTATCCTGATTATACTCTGTTGTTTGAAAACCTCTGCAGCTGTTAGTTCTGATTACTGTATATTTATAAATATTTATTAAGTAATATCAGAGGGTAAGAAAAATAACAAAATGTTAGTTTTAACTCAAAGCCACATGGGTTTGACTTCGGATTATTAACCATCTGTAGTCAAGCTATGTTCTTAACCACATTTACCAATAATGTTCTCATACCTACCCACGGTGAATGTTGTTCAAGTATCATGGGTGATAAATATTCAGGATGCAGTCATAATCAAGTTTTTATTGATGCCAACGTTTGAACCCAAACATGTTGGTCATCATCAGGGTGTGTTTCGAGCACTGAAGGTATTCAAGTATACCTTCAGTGCTCAAAACACATCCTGATGATGACCCACATGTTTGGGTTGAAACATCGGCACCATAAAAACTTTATAATTACAGTCGATAAACTTCAATAATTCTTTAAGTATCATTTGTTAATTATGGTTTTTTTTTCTACTCTATAGACCCAATGTTTGTGTTGACCGTGAAGAGAAAGAGGAGACCTCGGATGACTTTGGAAGCGATTTTATTGCCTTTGGCTCAGCCCAGTTCTCTACATGTCAAAACAGCCTTTCCAAATATACTTGTAAGACAATGTAAGTAATTATTATTTTCTAGCAAATATATGAATAAACAAGTTATAGAAGAATTATATTAACGGAATTGTTTTTAGAACGAAGAAGAATGGCAACACTAAGACTGTCATTGTCTCCTATCAGTGCTGCCATGGCTACAGGAGAACTAGTAGTAATCCAGGATGTTCCAAGGTGGAAACCAAGCCAATAGCTGACATAGCTGAGGAATTAGGGGCTAGCAAGTTCGCTGATTTAGTCAAGACTACTGGTCTTGAGAAGGAACTCGAAGGAAATGTTACCATCTTCCTTCCTTCTGATCAAGCTGTTTCAGAGCATCATGATGATTTAGACTCCATGGTTAGTAACATTTTTTTCATCATGAAATTTCATTTGTTGTGTTACAATCTACATTAAAACTCAACATATGATGGGATAATAATAAGAATAGAATAAATCAGTTTTGCTTGTTTCGTTCGGTAAGTTAATTATTTGTAAATATATTTTAATTGTATATGTATCATTAAAGTATATTTGCAAAACTTTCACTTTATGGAGAAAAAAGCAAAATTTACTTACACTACTATCATTTTAAATATCTCATATCATCGTCATCATCCCTGTTTTATTTTATTCATATTTTATACATTTGAATATTTCCGAATGTTAAAAACATCTTAAGAAGCTTTTCAATAAGAAAATTTTCTTCATCCTGTTTTATTATTCATTTTGCTTACAAATGTATTAGTATTAATAATACTTCAAATATCAATTATTCTTCCCCTAAACTTAGCAGATTCCTTCTTCTCTTCCAACTCTTAAACAATTATGATGACATAAAAAAATTTCACTTTCATCAACAGTTAAATTTCTCCAACTTCTCTTATAATTTTACCTTTATGCTGAAAATCATGATAGATGATGTTTGACTGTAATAGTATAATAAAAATTACTTATTAGAAAATCTTGAGACTAAAAACCACCTCATATTATTTTTATTAACCTTTCAGCTGTCAGATCATTTTAAGGTGATTCTGGAATGTAGCTAATCACTAAAACACATGCTATTCAACTGAAGTAATTGTAACATGTTGAAGCAACAACAAAATAAAAAACCAACTGTAAGAAGGGGCTTTTCAACAAAGGCAATAAATAGGGCTCGTGTATCTAGCTTGTTCTAAAGCTATTCTAACCAGAGTGGTAAGATCAAGATTTATTTTGTGAGTTTACCACAAAATAAATTTCAATCCCTAACCAGGCTGGTTTCAAACCGGTGCCGCTAGACTTCAGAATGTTAAAGCTTGCAACACCTTAACAAGCTTTGCCATCATGGCCTAGGCAATGGTAAACCATATGGACAGTTGGGTATATTGCTGAGAAAAAATATGTCAATGGGAAAAACTAAAATCACTTTATGTCTGACTATACATCCATCTATCCCAGAAACAAATAATCATATTCATACCCTTAGAATTTCAATATTTACAGTTATATAGGTAATATCTCATTAGATGCAAACAAAAAAATTTTCACTAGAAGATTTAACTGTAATTCAATAATTAGTTTCAAATCATGTGAAAAGGAACCATTCTAAATACTACTCAGGTTACTGTAAAATAAATAGTGATTTATAATATTATAAATATGTTATTATATTTGTTTGTAATACTTTATTCATTGTAATTTTTTATTGAGTTCTTTATTTTTGGTTTCAGAACCAAATATTGACAAATGAAGTGCAAGTTAGTAATTCACCTGTTCGTGATGAAAAAGCACTCGTCCGTGCTCATGTTGTTGATGGCGTGTATGAAGTTTCAGACATGTATGATGAAATGGTACGTATTAATTCTGTATGGTATATTGGCTCCATGATATATATAATAATCATGATCCAAAATAAGGACCTTGGATATTAATATTGTAGTTCAATGTGTTATTAAATCAAGGAAACAAGGGTCCATTGACAATCATAACAAAACCCTATAATTGTCTTTTCTTTTATTTCTCTAATGCTCCTAACCTATATAACATATTTTTATCAATCCTGGCCATAAAATAAGATGTAGTGCAATGTCTAGAAAACTTGATGTTAAATTGAGTACTATATTGCCTCAATGTTAGATAACGTCTTATTATTTTTTAATTTCTTGTCTGGGCTCATGAAGATATACAACTTGAATTAATAAAATATATAATATAATTAAAAGATAAGCAATTGATGTGGTCTATTTTAAGAACCTCTTGCTGTGAAGAACCCATTATTTGAAATATTGTATATTAACCTCATTAAATAGCTATTCAAAATGTATTGGTTCAGTAAATCAATCGCTCATAAATCTCTTTATGAATGATGTTAGATGCAGATGAATTTTGTGAGAAATTGGTAAAAATTGCAACTATTTGATTCTCATGGTGGTATGCATAGTCGTCCCTTATACTCCACTATTCCCTTATCATCTCTAAAAGGCTGTTGGTCAGAGTCCACCCCTTCAGCTTCCCTTCTACTATAGGGGACATTTACTATAAAGGGCCATCATCATTCCCAAAACTCCCCTTTACTCCCCTCACTCACTACGACTTTTATTTAACTGATAGGAAATGTAATTATTGTGTTATTACTATTATTTTTGCTATTATTATACTTCTACCTAAATAAAATCTAGTGAAATGAAACTTCTTGGTTCAAATTAATTTCTTAGTATTTAAGAGATAGGTTAAAATTAGTAATTGAGAATGTTATTTTCTGCACTCCACTTCATAGAATTCATTTGATATTAGCCAGATAACAATATATAATTGCTTCTTCTTTTCTTGAACATTGCCATAAAAATGTGTTAAATTATCGATTAAACATTGAGTAAGTAAAGGAGGTAACTGGACTGTTCAAATACATAATAAACTATTGTTTTTTTTTTTAAATATTCTTATTATATAGACGAGTGATATAAAAAGGAAAGCATTTTGTGGAGATGAGTTACAGTTCCTCACATCTTTAGTTCTCGAAAAAGGTTATGTTATAGAAAAGAATATACAGATACTGTTTCAAATAAAAAAAGAAGGGTTGGGAGGAAATTCTTGCTGAATTCAATGAGAACATTGTTTTCTCCACTCCCCTCGAACAATTCAGTAGTAAAAGGTAACGGTGGTGTTACCGTACAATAACTTGTTGTTTTATTATTATCTATGGGTGACTCTCAATAAATATTTAGTGAGGAGGAAATACATTTTCTCACTTCACAAGTTTTAGAAAGAGTGTCAGTTCTGGAAAACAAGAAAACTCTTAGAAAGTATCAAGTTTCCTGCAATTTCCTTATCAAGTGTATCAATGTTCTCATATATTTTGATTTGTTGATGTTCATAGTACTATTTATATGATAATTGCTATAATAGAAAGACAGAAAGCCTATGTAAGTCAATTAGCTTTGACAGAACTTATCATACTATGTTTTGCATTTATAGAATTTATTCCTTTGATGATACCAGGTAGTAATGGTACAATATTAATTGATCATATAATTTGCTATTATCAGATTCTGCAAACCAGAGACAATTCAACTCTACGTATCAACTTTCTTCCAAATCGACCCATCACAGTAAATTGTATTAAAATGAATGCTACAGACAGATTAACAGAAAAAGGTGTTGTCCACATTGTTGACTCTCTAATCAAACCAGTTAAGGGTACCATTGCGGATAAACTTTCAGAACCGAAATTTGCTAAGTTCAAGGAACGTAAGTAATAAATATATATTTTTGAGTTCTGTAATATCAATCTGTATTTTTTACTTTAATGATATAAATGTATTTTTCAATGCAGTTCTTGAAAGTAGTGATTTATGGAATATCATGTCTGGAGATAAAGCTCTCACAGTTTTTGCTCTGGAGAATGAAGCAGTTGAAAAAATAGGAAGCAAATATAAAATGTGCATGAAAAGTAAGTTTACAAATGTAGTAACTATTTAAACAAAATTTATTTTTGAAAATATTAATTGATAGTAATAATTGTAAAATTTTAGATGTCCTTGCGCATCATATTCTGCCCCATAGCCTTTGTTCCATTGCTGCTGATTCCAGCAATTTAGCAACTGTTGACATCACAAAGAGCTGGCTACCATTCACCAAAAAGGATGATGTTATAATCATTGGCAATAAGACCAAGTTAATAGAACTGGACTTTGTTGCTACCAATGGCATAGTGCACACTGCTGATTCTTTTGTTGTGCCATCTTCTGGTAAATGACTAGGGAACAGTTATCTAAAGTAACAATTTGTTTTTATAAAATTAAAATATTGGTCACAGTATTTATTAATATTTAAATTGTAGCTAGATCAATCTCAGAACTTCTTGAGCAATCTAACCATAAGGAATGGCTATCAGTTGTCCAAAAGTCAGGCCTTTTGGATCGTTTGGAAACAACTGAAAATGTGACCATGTTTGTTCCAACTAATGAAGCTGTAAAAGAAGTTATAGATAGTGACATGAGCCAGGAAGACCTAGAAAAACTGGTCAAATTCCATATTGCTAAAGATCAAGATGGCCACAGTATTAGCACTTGGCTTGATGGACAAAATCTCACTTTTTCAGCTGAGAAAAATGTGAGTTTCTATGTTATAAAAATTAAAAAGCTTATTTTTGGTCATTTTTATCAAAGTAATCAGTCTTAAATTAGGAAATGTAAATTTATGAATACTATATTTAAGTGTATTAAGTACTACTTTTTACTCTATTGTATGTTTTATCCACATAAATTAATACACAACAAAGTAAGGTGCACATCAGCTTTGCCTAAAAAAAATCAAAGTAAAACTAATATATACTATTACTAAACTTTTTTGTGTTTGGCTAGTTTTTCTATCCACTGCAGGCATAGGCTCAGAATACGGAGGGGGGAATACAGTTTTGCCCTCTCCCAATAATTTAAGGTAAAACAAATTAAAATTAATAATAAATAACTCACATGAATGAATAAAATGTGTGAACTAAAACCGATTAAGAAAAATCGACTAGGCTGGCAGGGCCTAGTAGTAGGTATGTAACTGTTTGAATGATACCTAAATGTTACTTTCATTTAAACTGTCATTTATATTCAAAGATAATAATATATTTCAACATATCCTAGGGTTTTGTGATTCAATCATCTCTCAATTTTTACGTGATATTCTTATAACATTTTCTGCGGCAAACTAGTCGGACTGTGAAAAATGTTGTATTTTTATTTGAGGTTGTACACACAAAGAAATCAAAGATGTTTTCACTTTTTATTCGACTAAGTAAAGCGGTATGAGGGTTATGTGTTTAGGTTGTCTACAAAAGCTAACAGTTTTTGAAGCGACTGGCTTTTTCGATTTTTAAGTTTGATGGCTCAAATTATTCGGTGAAAACCCTTGAGTGTTTTGAAACAGCTTGAGCTAAAAATACTGACCCGTTTCTTAGTAAAATATGTTTAACCAATTTACTAAAAGCTTTGCAACACTGTTTTAAGTGAATGGTTAGATCGATTTTTAAGTTTGATGGCTCACGTTATTCGGTGAAATTCCCTGTATGTTTTGATTTGAGATAAAATACGGAACTGGGATTAAATAAAATGTGCTTAATCGATTTAAATTCTAGCAAATTACTGTGTAAAGTGTGTTTAATCAATCAGAAGTTGGGAAATTCTATCCATCCTGAGGGAATTTGCTTTCATACTCACTTAAACATCTTTATAGATTGATAGTAAAATTGACATCTACTAATATTTAAACTTGATGTAGTAGCTGGTACCTACCTCCCCCGAACAAAACTCAAGACTTTCAGATATTTACTTGCACCGATAGATGGGATGAAATCTATTTGCCTGAAGCCGTAATGTGTAGTGAAAGGCACCCAACTATTACACGAAGTTTAAATATTCGTAGATGTCAATATACCAATATCTTTCAGTAGATATGGAAGTACATTCTCTTTGAGTGGATAGAAGTTTCCCAATTTCTGTAGTCGGGTTTTTTTAAATTAAAATTTTTTTTTTTACATTATTTATTTTTACCTGAATTTATTTTCAATATATTTCAATTACTTATATATAATAAGGAAAACAAAAAAAATAAAAATCCTTGCAATTATACAAACATATAAACAAATTAATTTTAAACATTCAAAATTATAATTGTTCGTTTCATAATAATTAAGTTGAATTTTAATGCAAATAAAAACTCCTGCCATTTTTTTTTTTTGATCCATCGACGCCCCCTCCAATTAAAATCGAAAGTCTGAGCCTATGATTGCAGATATTATTCTATAGCCAATATTTGATCTAATTAATAATTCAAAGCTAAATATTGTTTGAAACATTTTTAAATAGTATAAAACCAGTTTGTTTCTCAACCCAATTCTCACAGGCCTTCTTTTAGGTTTTTTTTTTATTAGTATTTTCACTATTAGTGAAATTAAAGTTTTCTTCGACACTTCTTATAATATGAACACCAGTTCACATTTTGTCTACTTCCATTACAAATCATAGTTACACCTTTGCTCCCAGGAAACTTTTTTAATATGAAACATAAATCAATAAAAAAGCAGTGGATCTTAAGTATATGCCAGAGCATTGGCAGCATTTCATGTACAAATAAGTATATCCCAGATAAACCATATGCTTGTGAAGGCAAGATACAGATTTTCACTACCAGAAGTACTGTCCAGAAGGAACAAATACGAGGGTGGCCTGAACAGTTTCCGACTGCAACGTGAAGATGGCAGCACTCGTGAATTTCGTTGTTCATCTGTTGACAGTTACCTACCAAAGTTTCAGCCATTTTTGGATGCGCAGTTTTTATGTAACAGTCGTTTGAGTGAGTTGATGTGAGTGTTTCTGTGAAAATGGACAAAATCTAGTATCGAGCTGTCATTAAATATATGTTTTTGAAAGGCAATACGCCAAGAAACTCAAAGATGTTTTGGATTCTGTGTATGGGGATTCTGCACCATCATTTACCATAGTAAAATTTTGGGCAGCTGAATTTAAACGTGGCCGTAAGAGCTTGGGAGACAATGAACGTTCGGTACGTTCAAAAACTGCAACTACCGATGAATACATCGCCACTGTTCACCAAATGGTGCTAGATGACCGCCGAATTAAAGTGAGAGAGATAGCAGAGGTTATGAACATGTCAAAAGAATGTGTTTGTTACATATTAAATCAACATTTAGATATGAGAAAGCTGTCCGCATGTTGGGTGCTGCGTTTACTCACGTTAGACCAAAAATGTGTTCAAATCAACATTTCCAACACTCTGTTATTAGTTTGAAACTTGGATACACCATTATACGCCCGAAACAAAAATACAGTCCAAACAATGGACTGCAAAGGGGGAATTGGCTCCAAAAAAAAAGCAAAAACTGTTTTCTCAGCTGGGAAAGTGATGGTGACTATTTTTTGGGATAGTCATGGAGTTATTTTAATAGACTATCTTCAAAAAGGAAAAACCATTACAGGAGCACACTATGCATCATTACTTGACAAGCTGAAGGCAGAACTTGCAGACAAATGGCCAGATTTGCAGTAAAAGAAAATCCTGTTTCACCTAGATAGGATGCACAGTATCACACCTCAGTGGTTGCCATGACGAAAATCCACGAATTACGGTTTGAACTGCTTGACCATCCACCTTACTCACCAGATCTAGCCCCAAGCAACTTCTTTTTGTTCCCTTTTCTAAAAATTGCGCTCGGAGGACAGAGATTTTTGTTAGGTCAAAAAGTTTTCATACCACCCTCGTATTGATTCAGACCTCTGTCTAATTGTTGGGAAAATTAGAAGTAGGATTTCAAACTCTGAAACCCACCAGTGTGGGCGAAGAAACTCTAGATTTAACATTAGCAGACTAAAGGAGCCTGAAATAAGCCCGAATTTCTGAAATAAGCTGTACTTCAATTGCAAAGCTCTGAGAAATCAATATTAATCAAAATAAATACTTGAAAATCATGTGGAGAAGCACAATATGTAACAGCAATACTTTGGAAGCCAAAAGATCTGACAAAAGAAAAAGGTGATTAAATGAGGAATATCAAATACTTTTGGGGAAAAATAATAAGCCTTATAGGACTATAGTGTAAAGAAGGAATACTTAGATTTGTGTATGAATATAGATAAGCCAGAAGGAAAAAAAAAAGAGTAAATTGCCAGAAGAGATGATAGTCTTTTGGTGAGAGGAATAGCAAACATTTTTTTCAAATGGTCCATTTGGGGTGCACATAGTCACTTAAATTGATGAATAAAAGAGAAGACTGAAGCTTAATAACTAACCATCTCTCATTTTAGTCTTCTCAATAAGAATTTGCAAGTGAGATAAGCTATATAGGCATCAGCGAACAATGAAGACTTCATTGAACCATCTGATGAAGAAGTACGGTAAACTATCGGGAATTTAAAAAATTCATTATGGCCTGGTTTCAAAGAAATGCCTGCCTAACTTATAAAACATTGTAGTACTGCATTGTTTAAGCTACTTATTGTTTTAATTATGGAAAGGAGAAAGACTTACTGTCGATGGAAACAATTATTTACCCTATATATATATATATATATATATATATATATATATATATATATATATATATATAAAAGGTTTCCCTGGACTGCTACAAGTACCAATGCATTTCTCTACTTTCATGCATGTACTGTATAAGATCCTGTATATCTTTTTATATGGAAGACTGCTAGCTCGTGCCAAAAAGGCAATTAAAAGATACAAAGTACCTCAGGTATATAGGAATATAAGTAGTGCCAACTTTCTTCAATAGATATGTTCAATGTTTTCGATATTCCATATATGTTTTTAATATAATATTAGTATAAACATTATTTTTTCAAGTACTGGACAGTATGCCGAAAATAACATTTTAGACAATCACAGGCAAAACAGTTTAATGGATCTATCTATGATGTTAATCGTTCTACTGTTACTCATTTTATTGTTTTTTCATGTAACTAGTTAAAATAAATTCTTAACCTATTTATATAAAAAGAATTAAATGACTGGAATAAAAAATTAAGTTTGTTTTTGAACATTTATGTGGGTTTCTGAATTTAAAACCAATATTGAACAATATTGTTTATTTTGTTTTATTATTTTTGTGTGTGTTTGTCGTCAAAATAATGAACTTTTTGTCCTTTTTTAGCTTTTCCCTGGCCTCTTAGGTATAAGCAGGTTTATGTCTGTTCAGTGCACTCCATTAACAAAAATTGGAGGACGAGTTTGTAATGGTGTTCTTCATGAGACTGGATCGGTCATGAAGCCAGCAACAAAGACACCTATGGAATTTATGGAAACCCATGATCAACTCAAAACATTCAGAAAAGTTCTTGAGGTATGCTATTTCTTAGAAAATGTAATTGCGATCGTGAAAAATTTATATAGTTATAGTTTTAATAAACTTATAAATCTTATGTCTGTATTACCAAACTACATTTTTCTCAATATGATTATTTTAGGGTACTAAGATAGAAAGCGAACTGAAAGGAGGTACTATTGGTTCAGCTTTTACTCTTCTTGCTCCTGTTGACTCTGCTTTTGAAGATATTGGACAGGAGTCATTGGATAGCCTCTTAAATGACAAAACTCTTGCTGATCAAGTGATTAGGTCACACATTCTTAAAGGTAATTTGTTAAAATAGAATTTAGTTCTAGCATGCTATTTGATGGGTACAAAAATATACTATCCACATTTTTTATGTTTCATTCAATTTCAACTAAGCAGCATGTTCTCATGTTTGTTTTTTTAATAGTTTGGTCATATTTATTGGAATAACTATTTAAATTGGTGTGATACAGAGAAAATGATAAGAGAATTTATGGATAGTAAAAGAAGCCTTGTAATGTTATTCTGTTTAAGATTAATTGTATTGTTGAATTATTACTACTAGAAGTAGAATCACAGCACAGCTTCAGCTCTTATCATTCTGTCACTCAAGAGTTCAAATTATTCCCGATGATTACTTTGCAATGAAAAGTAGTATCTTGCCATTTAGACTATTGCAGGAATATATTAGCACAGTGCCTTACTTATAGAGCTATCCTAGGGAAGTAGAAATCGAAAAAATATATAATAATTTTAATCTTTGAAAAGAATAGGAATGTAAATATCGGACAATAATAATCATTAAAAAAATGATACTTAGAGCTTCAGTGTTTTTAATATTTGAAAAAAGTGAACAGGATTAACATTAAATTAAGGTATCATATTTTTAATAGCTACAATTAAATATTTTTCAGATTGTGTTTCAGGCATTGTGTTTAAAAATAACCTCATTTTTATATAACTTTGCTTGTAGATATATTATTTTTTTTTTAATAACTTTTTTTATCTCATTGTACTTAAAAGAAATGATTAGTGTTTACATTGTTTTTTATTGATATTTTTACCAAATTTTTCACTTAGTATAGATTGTTTATGAACTTCGAAATACCTGAAATTATTTATTATTAAATATATTTCCAGAGCCAATCTGCTGCAATAACGTTGCTGCATCCTCTTGGCCATTCCTACCTGTCTCTCAGAGCCTTTCCGGTCGAGTGATCGAAGTTTACAAAAAAGGGAGTGTAGCTGTATTTGGTCAAGTTCCCACTGTAAGTTGTGACCATGTTGTAAAAGGAGCTATTATCCACCTTGTTGATGGGGTAAGTTAAAATTTGAACTTGTAGTTTTATAAAATGCCAATATTTTCATTATCGGGAGATTCTGATTGACTAACTAATTTCAGTTATTAATATAATTATTATCTATAATTCTAAATAACCTCAAAAATCAATTTATTTTATGATTCCCCTCCCAGTATAGTTTAATAGATAGACCAACAATTTATACAGTTTAATGTGGCAATCTTACCCAGTTTTTACTTGTTTTATTTTTTTCATTTATTAATATTGTAGAGTTGTTTCTCCATTTTAAAAATTTTATGTCATTTGTAAATAAATTCATAAATCAATTATTAAAATAAAATAGATGGATTATTTTAAATAAAATAAAAGTTCTAATTACCAAAAAGTTGGAATAATTTTTTTTTGTTGAATTTTTAATAATTAACTTTCTCTAATTCTGAAAAAATATGTAAATGCAAGAACTAAATGATGCTCTTACTAGAGCTAAGAAAAAGAAAACTGCAGGACCTAATGACATACTGCCAGAATTTCTTGTACACTTGGGGGATATCGCCAATGAAACATTATTAAGATATTAACTCTGAAAAACACATATTCTGTGTGAATGGAAGAAAGCAGAAGTGGTTTCAATACTGAAGAGGGAAAAACAAGGAAATATACCAACAAGTTTCAGACCCATTGCATTAACAAGCACTTTCTCTAAGCTCTACGAGAGAATCGTTACAGAGAGACTTCAAAAATACATAGAAAAATATGATCTGATATCTTCTAACCAAGCTGGCTTCAAGAAAAATCGAAACACTATTGAACAAGTAGCTCGTTTTCCACAAAAAGTAAAAAACTGTTTCCTTGGTATATTCATAGATTTTAAGATGGCATATGCAGAGTTTAGAGAAAGAAGATGGTGAGTAAGCTTGTTGATATTGGTGAGTAAGAGAGTAGCAGGATATTTGCTCAAGACTATATCCTCTTTTTTACATCAAAGGTTTATAAGGGTGTGAAATAAGAACTTAGTCTCGACATATCGCCAAACAAAACAAGGCCTCCCACAAGGTGCGGTGCTGAGTCCCTCTCTGTTTAATAATCAGGAAGATATCACAGGGCTCACCGAATCCATTTCGTGTATTAATGGATTGCTGTACGTAGATGACCTCATTATTTGGGCAACAAGTAATGACTTTAAAGGACTAGAAAACACATGCAACTAGTACTGGAATTACTAAAGAAATGGACCAATGAAAACTAGAATATCATTAATTCCGATAAGATGAAATTCCAGCTGTCGATACCCTCTCCACCAAATCACATGAGATAAATTTGAACTATATTAATGAGGAGCTCAAATGCACAGAAGAAGCTACAGATCTCCTAGTGAATCACAATAAAAGATTCTTCTAGAATAAACATATTGAGAAACCTGTATAACAGGCTTCAACATGACTATCGTTAACACGAGTTTAGCTGGCACAAAATGGGGAGCGACGGGGGATGTTATGGCCCTTGCCTACATACAAAACATATGTCCGAATATGGCAGAAAACTTGTTATCACTGCTTCGGACGCTATCTTACACAAGCTGGACACAGTTTAAAATCAGGCCCTCAGATTCGTGACAGGAGGGAGCTGATCTACTCCAATATCTGCTCTAGAATTACAAACAGGCATAGTACCTCTTGAGAAACACTGGGAGCAACTGGCCATTATGCTCTATGAAAGCCCAAAACATCATAAGACTACTGGAGTATCTATGAACCCGCACCAGAACTCCTTAAAACACAAATTACTTGTACAAAGGTGATTATAGAAGGCTTGATACAAAGGAAAGGATTAGAATTAGCTGAAAGGAAGCCTCTCCGGTATTTACATAAATTCCATACACTTATCAATTGTATTGTACTGTGATCTTCAGAAAGCTTCTAAGGGATCAACACCAGTTCACCAACTTAAGGCTATAACCCTAGAAACTATCATAAAACGATTTCCAGAAGCAGAATGGCTCCATGCATATACTGATAGTTCTGCACTGGAAGCACACAAACATGAGCTGGAGTTTATTCAAAGGAATTTCGACTTGCCGCCTTGGTCAGAGGGTTAGCCACAAAATTAGAAATGGAAGTGAGAACCATTCTCTTAGTCCTTGAGAGATTGGTTGAACAGAAAGACAAGAAAGTCGCTTTCTTTGTTGACTCACAGGCAGCCACTTTGTCTATCCAAAATGGATATAATATGAATTTGGATTCATATAGCCTTAAATGTCATCTGTATTTGGAAAGATTAAAAGAAAACGGGACAGAAGTTGCTTTCCAGTGGATACCAGGTCATTCCGGGCTCCATGGAAATGGCGTAGCTGACTACCTGGCCAGAATAGGTTCTGGAATGATCCAACCAGATATTCCTCCAGGCGTAGATTCATCTAAAAGAATAATAAAATAGACCCTCCAAAGTTAACTAAATGAGAAATATGCACAAAAATTTATGGGAAGCGATGCATTGGATTGCTAGAAGAAAGTGGCAGAATTCCAAGAGACTTCCATTGAGGGCAATCCGTGGCATGTTTTAGAATGCTTACAAGGCATGATTTCCTGCATGAGCACCTCTACCGCATCAGTATAAAAGATATTTCGACCCATCGTTTATGCTTTTTGGATAGTATGATAGAACATCTTGACATATGCTCTGCATTACAGAACATAAGATGTGCTTTTAGTGAAACGACCAATCTTATGCTAGATTAAATTCGATTACACATGGCTGATCAAGTAGGCGTAGGAAAAAAAAACTTTCAATGATTGATTTTTATTTTTTTTTTTTATACATGTAAATGGCATTAAATTTTGATGATTGTTAAATAAATAATCATTTTATTTATTGATAAAATGATATATTTCACAATCATTTTTGTAATAATTTAAAATAAGTGTTTTCATAATAAGTATACAACCCTAAAATGTCAAATAAATTAAAAATAAGTAAAATGATTGGAAGGTCTTGTTTGCTGAATCTTCTAATGTTCATCAGACTTCCTACAAAATTAGAAATTAAAATAATATATTGTTATTAAAAATATTGATGTAGGCAAGTTCCTAAACTATGTGCTGAGCTTTTCAGAAATCCATAACCGTATTCCTAAATTAAATTCATCATGGAATTCTGCATGTTACTTTATTTATCAATTGAACACGCGATGGCTGTGTGGTTCCATCAGCTTTTGGGGTTGATGGTTCCACTGGATGTAACCTCAGTGTTGTTATTTCTCCATTTACTTTACATGTTTATGTTTAGTGAACTTTCTGTCTATATTCATTTCCATTTTGAAATTCAGTAATTCAGAAGATAGGTATGACCTTATTATATTGTAACCTTCAAGGAATGACCACCTTTTGCTGGAATCCAGCAGGTCATTCGTATATATAAATCGCTGTCCATCAGTCATGAATTCCATTGATGAAAATAGCGTTGAGTGTAGTAACTTGCCCTATATCATTTGTTTACTGAAATAGATTTTATTTAAATTTTTTATATTAGTTTTTAAAACAATGTTAATATGTAGTATCTTAAAAACTTTTGTTGTTTAGTATAGACAGAAGATACTTTAATTGTTTGTTAACTTGAGTGCTTGAATAAAGCTTGTAAATAAATAAGATAAGACCATATAAAGCACTGAGGAAGGTAAATAATAAGTTAATATCAAATCAACCTCTGTAGTGTTCAAAACAAATACAAAATACGACTATTTCGGAGAAGCTAATAGAGACTGCTGGACACATGGAAGCAACTCAACAGCGTACAATTTTTGGTGGAGTGCTGAAGGTGCAACTAAACAGAAATTTGCAACAAATAATTAAACCACAAAATGAGCACTTCAGAGGTTGGCTTAATACTGACATTTATTTACCTTTCTCAGGGCTTTATATAGTCTTATCTTATTTATTTACAAATTGTATTCAAGCAACCTACTTACCATGTTTATCAAAAATTTTACAAAGTCAATAACGAATAACTTTATTTTTAGATTAGACTTACACGTCAAAGGCCAAGGGACAGAGAACTAATCCTGAAGAAGCCAAATTCTGAAATTATCTTGGCTGGAATCTAAATTAGTGTTACGTATAATTACATTAATATATAAATGTGAAACAGAGAGCTGATAACATAATAATCCATAATACATATCACCTGTTATGTGATTTAGAGACTGTAATACATAAAGTGAACAAGGGGATCTGAAAATTTTATATAACCCTTTTTTTATTTTTTTTTGTTTTGTTTGTGATTGTGGGTATGATGTACATTATTTTGTTTGTTGTAAGTTTATAATAAATTTAGTAATAATATTGGTGGTTTTTAGACAATTATTGTTTATTTGTTTATTCCTACTGCACCCAATGAAGACCTGGAAGCTTTTACTTCTTTGGCCAACCTAACTAGCTAAACTTTTTTTTTTAATATTTATACTATAAATACTATTTCTTGCCTTTACTCCCAGAAAAAATTGGAATCCAAGCTATTGATCTATTTGTACTTTTAAGAGCTTTCTAGTAGTCTTAACACTAATTATAGGGTGTTCTTAACGCCTATAATCCAGTTTTACCTAACGGTTTGGTTAATATCTGTAAGAAATAATAATTTTAATAAATTATGTAAGATAATCCAATAAAAAAGTTAAACTGTTATGATTTGGTACTTGTCTAGAATCTGGTTGGGATCGACTATCTGCCAATGTTTATAACCTGAACACTGATAATCCCTATCTTCATACTCATATTTATTTTTGAGAACCTTTTGTGAGATCAGACCTGAACTTTAGACCAAAATGTCTGCAAAATAAAAATAAATATCATTTACATATTTTTACTTTGTATTTTTGACTTGAACACCCCAAACCAACTTCTCTTCAATATAAATTTTAGAAGTTTTTTTCTTTAGGGATTTTTCTTTCTGGTCATCAACTAAAGTACTATTAACTCCACAGGATTTTCTTCAAATACAACAATGGGAAAAATGTATTACTGCTCAATTATTCCAACTCATATCAATAAATATTAGATTTTATGGCTTTGTAAGGTAAAAATAAAGGAAAATATTCTCAAATGTTTTTATTTCATATTTTTGTCCCTTAAATTAGGAACAGGTTCCTGCTGAATCATGAGAAAACAGCTCAGAATGTAGTTGAATACCTCTAGGAGGTAATCTAACAGATAATACATGTTTTAGGTATTGTTAAATCTCTATAGGTGTAACCGGAATTCCATTCCTACCCAGATTTATTTTGACATGTGCTCACTCATTAGATATATGAAACAAGCATGAATAATGCAATTAACCTGAGTTTAAACCGCGAGACAGCTTATAGTAGAAAATGATCACGCCAGTATAAATGAGGACTGTTCCCAATAAACGTGCACTAAAAAATAACATATGTCCTATATAAAAATGGATTTAATTTCTGTTTCTTCAGTTTTCATGTGATTTACTACAGCTTGTTTAGATGTTATAAAGGAATATAAACAAATTCATAATTTTAAGAACGACAGGTCAATTTTCAGAAGATTTAATATATCTTATTGGTCATATGAAAAAATAATTAAATAAAAATCAATCATAGACAAGCTGTCTTGAGTTCAGATCTAAACAGGTATTAATACAAGAAAAGCATGTGTTGGTGTTCACCTATCTCACAATGTAGAAGGTCTTAATAAATTTTTAATGTTTCCTTTCTACATGTATACAGCCACTAGGTACTACATTTATATACAATGGCTTGCAATAGAAATCTATTTATCACTATTTTTCTTTCTTCAGAATATTGATTTTATAAATAAAACAAGATTATTATTAAAGCAAATTTGAATAATAATATAAGTGTTATATAATGTTACCTACATAGAAGACATTAATCTACACAATATTGCAAAAGTTTTGTGATTAATCAAAGCAGTGATAAATGTAAAAATATGTAACAGATATATTAAAACTCTGTTCTTTGATAGTAGATATTTAGAATACAAATATGTAACTCCAAGAACGAGTTCAATTTCAATAACTAAAGATTGTTGATTATATTTTAAGAACTCCCACACCAACTAACTGTTCATGGCATTCGTACATATTTATCTTTAGTTAAAATGACTCATTATTAATGTTTCAGTCTAATGGAACAATTTGGTAACAGATGAATATCAGTTAAAAATTATAAATAACTAATCATGAAATAAACAGTTTTAAGATGTATTGTTATATTGGGCAAGCAATTAATAAAAAATACCTTAATTACCATGAATCAATAAAAATAAACGGAAGTTTAATCTAAGGCAGAATCAACTAAAAACATATATAAACACCATAAAACAATATAAAAACACCAGGAAAACAAAAAAAAAAACAGTCATATGTGAAGTAGTAAAAGTTATGAGGTAAATAATATTTTTTCCATTAGACTATCAGATTTCAAAAAAAATGATTTAATATATTACTGAGCAACAAATTTTATGGTAAAAACAATTACACTTAGCAATATATATGCAATACAAAATGGACTAGAATAATTGAACATCACTATTGGTAAATAATAAAAATAAAATCATATTCTAATAAAATCATATTACCTTAAATATTTCATAAACAATCAAATGTTTTGTTTTTTTTTAAATTACGTAAAGAATATAATATTTGAATGTAAAACTTTCTTATTGAATAACATTGACCCGAATACCTTAAGGATGTAAACATCGTGTTTTAATTAAAAATGTCTAGAAATAAACAACGATGAGATTGTTACCTAATATAATCTTTCTAAAATCCAAACAGTTTAAAATTGTAATTACGTAAACCACCACATTACCTACTTCACTCACCAGAGCATCATCCAATAACTGGAGAAGCGAGCTACAAACTTGAATGCATTTTGGTATAAAAGAAGTTAATAACGAACTGAACGATAAACTAAACTAAACTAAAATCATTATTAATTATTAGATACCAAAAATTTAAATGTTTTTTTTAATATTAAAAATTCGAATGAAAAATAGTTGATCATCACAACAATAAATAAAATAGACCTGGAGCCAGGGCCGAAAAGAAAAGGATGCTTTAGACAAATTTTCTTGGTTCATTCAGGAATGAAAATGTCCCCTGCCACCCCTTTGAGAACATCTTTAAGGTAGGTCACTAGCGGATCCAGGATTTAATTTTTTTTTTGGGGGGGGGGAGGCTTCAGCCCGAAAGTATTTTTTTCATGAAAATAACGATAATTACTTTGGAAAAAATAAAGAAACTAACTAACTGTATGAAATGGTGTTTAAGTGATTCCTAAAGCCCTTTTAAATGTAATTACACGAACAATAATACTTTAAGAGATACTTTTTTTATATTTTTCTCGATAAAACAGGGTTATATTTTACCATTTTGGGGGGGCTTCAGCCGAAAGCTCCCTCCCCCCGTAGATCCGCCGGTGAGGTAGGTTCATTTTTGTTCTCTCAGTCTTCCTGTTACTTTTCTTTGAAATTCTTGAACTAAAGCATTCCCCTTTTGTTTTCCAACATTGTGAGTGGTAGTATTTTTATATTCCATTTTTCTCTTGACACCAACTTCTGTTTATATAAAATTTTGACCAGTTGATGCAGATCATCCAGGCAGATAATGAAACAACGGAGGATTAAAAAAACAACTGAACCTTATTATATCAAAAGAAAGGAAGCTAAGACAATATGCAATCAATAGAAAAGGTAATATTCTTCGTAGAACTGGTGATCCTAAACACAGCAATATTCACGAATAAAGAAAAACAGACCCAGTAAAAAAGACAGGGGATTAGAAGGAAGAAGAAATACCACCAGATAGATGAGATAATCACACCATTCCATAGTAACATAGTTCCTTGAATAGACAATATTCCGAATGAGGTTCTGAAATATGTTGATATAGAAGATTTACAACTTTAAATTCGATATCTGGACAGATATGAGGATGCCACAGGATTGAAATGTGACCGTTTTGTGCCCAATACGTAAGAAGGTAGATAAATTAACCTGCCGAAACTATCTTAGTACGCCCTACTGACCTCTGTTTACAAGGTTTTCTCGGTTGCAATAAACAGAATAAATAAGACATGGGCAGAAATAAATATTGGTGAATAGGGAAGTTGCTTTCGACCATGAAGAAGCTACAACCCATCATATTTTCTCCATTCGACAAATGGTGGTGAAGACTTCTGAATGCAATAGTGATCTCGATCACCTCTTCATCGATTTCCATCAAGCTTATGATAGTCTGAATAGGAGTGAACTACTTAAACTCGTGAAAGCAGTTGGAGTTCAATTATATCCCACATCCCAATCAATGAATTGGCGGTGCAGGACCAGTGGCTTGGGCCTGCACTCTCTCCAGACCTGACACCACTGATTTTTTTTTTGTTTGGGTGACATATGCAAGTACGGCGAATGGCCTTAATTCCTTACGAAGAAGGATAATTGAATCTTGTGAAACAATAACACATAACCAGTGCCGTTCTGCCACTGCTGCTGTTGAAGAAAGATGCCGAGCCTGTCTTAATGCTCAAGGAAATCATTTTGAACAACATTTAGTACGAATATTAATGTTTACATTTATAAATAAAGTAGTTAGAACAAATAAATAGATTTTATTTATTTCATATAACGTAAATAATTCTTAACAACGAAAATCTGTATGTATGAATATCTCCTATTAAAAGCGTTTGCGGACATACCTTCGGGGGAAATGTTTTTCTTGTTTTGAGGGCCTTAGTTTATTTTTGCAGTTTGTCCACTTAATCCTTAAACACCCTGTATAATATTCCCAAAAAGTGAGAAACAGGAAGGACAGGATCGCTTACAACTTCCCCACCACACTTTTAAGAACGTTGGCAGTTTCAAATACCTAGGAGCTTTAGTGACGGGAAAAAATGACGTTACATTGGAAATAAAAGCATTAATTGCAGCAAGAAACATGTATTTTTGGATTACGGGAAAAATGTATTTTTGCATTACGGGAAACATTGTGTTTTTGGAACTGTCACGGAAGGCAAAGCTACTTTTTTTATAAAACAATTTTGAGATCAATTGTCATGTAGGCAGGTGA